CATACTAACGACTGAGATCGTTATTGTTTCAATGAGGCTGATGTGTTTCCATATTAACAACTGAGATCTTTATTGTTTCTGTGAGGCTGATGTGTTTTCATATTAACGGCTGAGATCGTTATTGTTTCAATGAGGCTGATGTGTTTCCATACTAACGGCTGAGATCGGTATTGTTTCGGTGAGGCTGATGTGTTTCCATACTAACGGCTGAGATCGTTATTGTTTCAATGAGGATGATGTGTTTCCATACTAACGGCTGAGATCGTTATTGTTTCAATGAGGATGATGTGTTTCCATACTAACGGCTGAGATCGTTATTGGTTCGGTGAGGCTGATGTGTTTCCATACTAACGGCTAAGATCGTTATTGTTTCGGTGAGGCTGATGTGTTTCCACACTAACGGCTTAGATCGTTATTGTTTCAATGAGGCTGATGTGTTTCCATACTAACGGCTGAGATCGTTATTGTTTCCTTGAGGCTGATGTGTTTCCATACTAACGGCTGAGATCGTTATTGTTTCCTTGAGGATGATGTGTTTCCATACTAACGGCTGAGATCGTTATTGTTTCGGTGAGGCTGATGTGTTTCCATACTAACGGCTAAGATCGTTATTGTTTCGGTGAGGCTGATGTGTTGCCATACTAACGGCTGAGATCGTTATTGTTTCGGGGTGGCTGCTGTGTTTCCATACTAACGGCTGAGATCGTCATTGTTTCCTTGAGGATGATGTGTTTCCATATTAACGGCTGAGATCGTTATTGTTTCAATGAGACTGATGTGTTTCCATACTAACGGCTGTGATTGTTATTGTTTCGGGGAGGCTGATGTGTTTCCATACTAACGGCTGAGACCGTTATTGTTTCAATGAGGCTGATGTGTTTCCATACTAACGGCTGTGATTGTTATTGTTTCGGTGAGGCTGATGTGTTTCCCCATTAACGGCTGAGATCATCATTGTTTCGGTGAGGCAGATGTGTTTCCATACTAGCGGGTGAGATCGTTATTGTTTCGGGGAGGCTGATGTGTTTCCATAATAACGACTGAGATCGTTATCGTTTCAATGAGGCTGATGTGATTCCATATTGACGGCTGAGAATGTTATTGTTTCTGTGAGGCTGATGGGTTTCCCCATTAACGGCCGAGGTCATCATTGTTTCGGTGAGGCAGATGTGTTTCCATACTAGCGGGTGAGATCGTTATTGTTTCAATGAGGCTGATGTGTTTCCATATTAACGGCTGAGAATGTTATTGTTTCAATGAGGCTGATGTGTTTCCATACTAACGGCTGAGATCGTTATTGTTTCGGTGAGGCTGATGTGTTTCCATACTAACGGCTGAGATCGTTATTGTTTCAATGAGGCTGATGTGTTTCCATACTAACGGCTGAGATCGTTATTGTTTCGGTGAGGCTGATGTGTTTCCATACTAACGGCTGAGATCGTTATTGTTTCAATGAGGCTGATGTGTTTCCATACTAACGGCTGAGATCGTTATTGTTTCGGTGAGGCTGATGTGTTTCCATACTAACGGCTGAGATCGTTATTGTTTCGGTGAGGCTGATGTGTTTCCATACTAACGGCTGAGATCGTTATTGTTTCGGTGAGGCTGATGTGTTTCCATACTAACGGCTGAGATCGTTATTGTTTCGGTGAGGCTGATGTGTTTCCATACTAACGGCTGAGATCGTTATTGTTTCGGTGAGGCTGATGTGTTTCCATACTAACGGCTGAGATCGTTATTGTTTCGGTGAGGCTGATGTGTTTCCATACTAACGGCTGAGATCGTTATTGTTTCGGTGAGGCTGATGTGTTTCCATACTAACGGCTGAGATCGTTATTGTTTCGGTGAGGCTGATGTGTTTCCATACTAACGGCTGAGATCGTTATTGTTTCGGTGAGGCTGATGTGTTTCCATACTAACGGCTGAGATCGTTATTGTTTCGGTGAGGCTGATGTGTTTCCATACTAACGGCTGAGATCGTTATTGTTTCGGTGAGGCTGATGTGTTTCCATACTAACGGCTGAGATCGTTATTGTTTCGGTGAGGCTGATGTGTTTCCATACTAACGGCTGAGATCGTTATTGTTTCGGTGAGGCTGATGTGTTTCCATACTAACGGCTGAGATCGTTATTGTTTCGGTGAGGCTGATGTGTTTCCATACTAACGGCTGAGATCGTTATTGTTTCGGTGAGGCTGATGTGTTTCCATACTAACGGCTGAGATCGTTATTGTTTCGGTGAGGCTGATGTGTTTCCATACTAACGGCTGAGATCGTTATTGTTTCGGTGAGGCTGATGTGTTTCCATACTAACGGCTGAGATCGTTATTGTTTCGGTGAGGCTGATGTGTTTCCATACTAACGGCTGAGATCGTTATTGTTTCGGTGAGGCTGATGTGTTTCCATACTAACGGCTGAGATCGTTATTGTTTCGGTGAGGCTGATGTGTTTCCATACTAACGGCTGAGATCGTTATTGTTTCGGTGAGGCTGATGTGTTTCCATACTAACGGCTGAGATCGTTATTGTTTCGGTGAGGCTGATGTGTTTCCATACTAACGGCTGAGATCGTTATTGTTTCGGTGAGGCTGATGTGTTTCCATACTAACGGCTGAGATCGTTATTGTTTCGGTGAGGCTGATGTGTTTCCATACTAACGGCTGAGATCGTTATTGTTTCGGTGAGGCTGATGTGTTTCCATACTAACGGCTGAGATCGTTATTGTTTCGGTGAGGCTGATGTGTTTCCATACTAACGGCTGAGATCGTTATTGTTTCGGTGAGGCTGATGTGTTTCCATACTAACGGCTGAGATCGTTATTGTTTCGGTGAGGCTGATGTGTTTCCATACTAACGGCTGAGATCGTTATTGTTTCGGTGAGGCTGATGTGTTTCCATACTAACGGCTGAGATCGTTATTGTTTCGGTGAGGCTGATGTGTTTCCATACTAACGGCTGAGATCGTTATTGTTTCGGTGAGGCTGATGTGTTTCCATACTAACGGCTGAGATCGTTATTGTTTCGGTGAGGCTGATGTGTTTCCATACTAACGGCTGAGATCGTTATTGTTTCGGTGAGGCTGATGTGTTTCCATACTAACGGCTGAGATCGTTATTGTTTCGGTGAGGCTGATGTGTTTCCATACTAACGGCTGAGATCGTTATTGTTTCGGTGAGGCTGATGTGTTTCCATACTAACGGCTGAGATCGTTATTGTTTCAATGAGGCTGATGTGTTTCCATACTAACGGCTGAGATCGTTATTGTTTCGGTGAGGCTGATGTGTTTCCATACTAACGGCTGAGATCGTTATTGTTTCGGTGAGGCTGATGTGTTTCCATACTAACGGCTGAGATCGTTATTGTTTCGGTGAGGCTGATGTGTTTCCATACTAACGGCTGAGATCGTTATTGTTTCGGTGAGGCTGATGTGTTTCCATACTAACGGCTGAGATCGTTATTGTTTCGGTGAGGCTGATGTGTTTCCATACTAACGGCTGAGATCGTTATTGTTTCGGTGAGGCTGATGTGTTTCCATACTAACGGCTGAGATCGTTATTGTTTCGGTGAGGCTGATGTGTTTCCATACTAACGGCTGAGATCGTTATTGTTTCGGTGAGGCTGATGTGTTTCCATACTAACGGCTGAGATCGTTATTGTTTCGGTGAGGCTGATGTGTTTCCATACTAACGGCTGAGATCGTTATTGTTTCGGTGAGGCTGATGTGTTTCCATACTAACGGCTGAGATCGTTATTGTTTCGGTGAGGCTGATGTGTTTCCATACTAACGGCTGAGATCGTTATTGTTTCGGTGAGGCTGATGTGTTTCCATACTAACGGCTGAGATCGTTATTGTTTCGGTGAGGCTGATGTGTTTCCATACTAACGGCTGAGATCGTTATTGTTTCGGTGAGGCTGATGTGTTTCCATACTAACGGCTGAGATCGTTATTGTTTCGGTGAGGCTGATGTGTTTCCATACTAACGGCTGAGATCGTTATTGTTTCGGTGAGGCTGATGTGTTTCCATACTAACGGCTGAGATCGTTATTGTTTCGGTGAGGCTGATGTGTTTCCATACTAACGGCTGAGATCGTTATTGTTTCGGTGAGGCTGATGTGTTTCCATACTAACGGCTGAGATCGTTATTGTTTCGGTGAGGCTGATGTGTTTCCATACTAACGGCTGAGATCGTTATTGTTTCGGTGAGGCTGATGTGTTTCCATACTAACGGCTGAGATCGTTATTGTTTCGGTGAGGCTGATGTGTTTCCATACTAACGGCTGAGATCGTTATTGTTTCGGTGAGGCTGATGTGTTTCCATACTAACGGCTGAGATCGTTATTGTTTCGGTGAGGCTGATGTGTTTCCATACTAACGGCTGAGATCGTTATTGTTTCGGTGAGGCTGATGTGTTTCCATACTAACGGCTGAGATCGTTATTGTTTCGGTGAGGCTGATGTGTTTCCATACTAACGGCTGAGATCGTTATTGTTTCGGTGAGGCTGATGTGTTTCCATACTAACGGCTGAGATCGTTATTGTTTCGGTGAGGCTGATGTGTTTCCATACTAACGGCTGAGATCGTTATTGTTTCGGTGAGACTAATGTGTTTCCATACTAACGGCTGAGATCGTTATTGTTTCGGTGAGGCTGATGTGTTTCCATACTAACGGCTGGGATTGTTATTGTTTCGGTGAGGCTGATGTGTTTCTATACTAACGGCTGAGATCGTTATTGTTTCGGTGAGACTAATGTGTTTCCATACTAACGGCTGAGATTGTTATTGTTTCGGTGAGGCTGGTGTGTTTCTATACTAACGGCTGAGATCGTTATTGTTTCGGTGAGGCTAATGTGTTTCCATACTAACGGCTGAGATCTTTATTGTTTCGGTGAGGCTGATGTGTTTCCATACTACCGGCTGAGATCGTTATTGTTTCGGTGAGGCTGATGTGTTTCCATATTAACGGTTGAGAATGTTTCGGAGATGCTACCACAATTGTATGGTATATTCTGTATGTCACGTGCTTTGCTTTTATTTTGACGTACTCTTCACATGCTATGCTTGCAATCTATAACTCTGTGTGATATGAAAGTCGATGCTTTTCATTCCGCTCAATAGTCTGCCTCGTGGTTTTGTTGTCACTACCCGAGCTCTCGATGTGAGGAAGTGACATTAATTAAGATTCGACTTAGATTTCGAGTAAGAAGACGTTTACCGTCACTGCACCAGAACGGGATAGTTTGTAAATACATATCAATGCATTTTATACCATAGTATCAATTCCAAAAATATTTGTTCATTTCTCGTAAGTAGATATTCTCTATTACAAGTTGGTACATGTATTTCCATGACTTCGTTCTTTAAATAGGAAGGGAAATACCATCAGGACCACGTAAGCCCTGAAACAGGTGTTACTGTACCGTAAAAGGGGCACAGAGTTGTAATAGTTCACATATGTTAGAGTCGTCGGAGGTCTTATTAAATTTCCACTCCGAGCTTACACTGCTGTTAAGTGTATTCGTATTGTTTCTTTTATGTTGATTTACCTACGTTTTCACAGCTGTATCGTATTATCACACAGCCCTGTAGTTTTTCACACTATGTGGTATTGTTTCATTCTTTTTTGTTTCGTTACTGTACGAAATGCCTGTATTGTTTCGCACTGTTTTAAGATACAGTATATTACACATACCCGTATACATTATCTTGTGTTTGTCACTGTTTTAAGATACAGTATATTACACATACCTGTATACATTATCTTGTGTTTGTCACTGTTTTAAGATACAGTATATTACACATACCCGTATACATTATCTTGTGTTTGTCACTGTTTTAAGATACAGTATATTACACATATTTGTATACATTATCTATTGTTGCCCACTGTTTTAAGATACAGTATATTACACATACGTGTATACATTGTCTATTGTTTCCCATTGTTTTAAGATATAGTATATTACATATACCTGTCTCCATTATCTATTGTTTCCCACTGTTTTAAGATACAGTATATTACACATATTTGTATACATTATCTATTTTTTCCCACTGTTTTAAGATACAGTATATTACACACACCTGTATACATTGTCTATTGTTTCCCATTGTTTTAAGATATAGTAGATTACATATACCTGTATCCATTATCTATTGTTTCCCACTGTTTTAAGATACGGTATATTACACATACCTGTATACATTATCTTGTGTTTCCCACTGTTTTAAAATACAGTATATTACACATACCTGTATACATTGTCTATTGTTTCCCACTGTTTTAAGATACGGTATATTACACATACCTGTATACATTGTCTATTGTTTCCCATTGTTTTAAGATATAGTATATTACACATACCTGTATACATTGTATATTGTTACACACTGTTTTAAGATACAGTATATTACACATACCTGTATACATTATCAATTGTTTCCCGCTGTTTTAAGATACAGTATATTACACATACCTGTATACATTATCAATTGTTTCCCACTGTTTTAAGATACAGTATATTACACATACCTGTATACATTATCAATTGTTTCCCACTGTTTTAAGATACAGTATATTACACATACCTGTATACATTATCAATTGTTTCCCACTGTTTTAAGATACAGTATATTACACATACCTGTATACATTATCAATTGTTTCCCACTGTTTTAAGATACAGTATATTACACATACCTGTATACATTATCAATTGTTTCCCACTGTTTTAAGATACAGTATATTACACATACCTGTATACATTATCAATTGTTTCCCACTGTTTTAAGATACAGTATATTACACATACCTGTATACATTATCAATTGTTTCCCACTGTTTTAAGATACAGTATATTACACATACCTGTATACATTATCAATTGTTTCCCACTGTTTTAAGATACAGTATATTACACATACCTGTATACATTATCAATTGTTTCCCACTGTTTTAAGATACAGTATATTACACATACCTGTATACATTATCAATTGTTTCCCACTGTTTTAAGATACAGTATATTACACATACCTGTATACATTATCAATTGTTTCCCACTGTTTTAAGATACAGTATATTACACATACCTGTATACATTATCAATTGTTTCCCACTGTTTTAAGATACAGTATATTACACATACCTGTATACATTATCAATTGTTTCCCACTGTTTTAAGATACAGTATATTACACATACCTGTATACATTATCAATTGTTTCCCACTGTTTTAAGATACAGTATATTACACATACCTGTATACATTATCAATTGTTTCCCACTGTTTTAAGATACAGTATATTACACATACCTGTATACATTATCAATTGTTTCCCACTGTTTTAAGATACAGTATATTACACATACCTGTATACATTATCAATTGTTTCCCACTGTTTTAAGATACAGTATATTACACATACCTGTATACATTATCAATTGTTTCCCACTGTTTTAAGATACAGTATATTACACATACCTGTATACATTATCAATTGTTTCCCACTGTTTTAAGATACAGTATATTACACATACCTGTATACATTATCAATTGTTTCCCACTGTTTTAAGATACAGTATATTACACATACCTGTATACATTATCAATTGTTTCCCACTGTTTTAAGATACAGTATATTACACATACCTGTATACATTATCAATTGTTTCCCACTGTTTTAAGATACAGTATATTACACATACCTGTATACATTATCAATTGTTTCCCACTGTTTTAAGATACAGTATATTACACATACCTGTATACATTATCAATTGTTTCCCACTGTTTTAAGATACAGTATATTACACATACCTGTATACATTATCAATTGTTTCCCACTGTTTTAAGATACAGTATATTACACATACCTGTATACATTATCAATTGTTTCCCACTGTTTTAAGATACAGTATATTACACATACCTGTATACATTATCAATTGTTTCCCACTGTTTTAAGATACAGTATATTACACATACCTGTATACATTATCAATTGTTTCCCACTGTTTTAAGATACAGTATATTACACATACCTGTATACATTATCAATTGTTTCCCACTGTTTTAAGATACAGTATATTACACATACCTGTATACATTATCAATTGTTTCCCACTGTTTTAAGATACAGTATATTACACATACCTGTATACATTATCAATTGTTTCCCACTGTTTTAAGATATAGTATATTACACATACCTGTATACATTATCAATTGTTTCCCACTGTTTTAAGATACAGTATATTACACATACCTGTATACATTATCTTGTGTTTCCCACTGTTTTAAGATATAGTATATTACAGATACCTGTGTACATTATCTATTGTTTCCGTACAGTATATTACACATACCTGTATACATTATCATGTGTTTCCCACTGTTTTAAGATATAGTATATTACACATACCTGTATACATTATCAATTGTTTCCCATTGATTTAAGATACAGTATATTACACATACCTGTATACATTATCTATTGTTTCCCACTGTTTTAAGATACAGTAAATTACACATACCTGTATACATTATCTAGTGTTTCCCACTGTTTTAAGATATAGTATATTACAGATACCTGTGTACATTATCTATTGTTTGCGTACAGTATATTACACATACCTGTATACATTATCTTGTGTTTCCTAACAGTATATTACACATACCTGTATACATTATCTATTGTTTCCCACTGTTTTAAGATACAGTAAATTACACATACCTGTATACATTATCTAGTGTTTCCCTACAGTATATTACACATATCTGTATACATTATCTGTTATTTCTGCTTTGTTCTGTTGGCCATTTGTTTCATTCGCTTACAGTACATGTACATGTAATAAAAACCAAATGATTGACCGACAAAATGAATGCCAATAATACATGTATTATTATGTATAAAAATTAAATGACTTACACGTTTTTGAGAAATGTCTTCTTTCCTAGGAGAGACGAGTTGTAAAGCTAGCAAATCGATGGCCAAGAGGGGAGGTTCCCTATCGATTCAGTAGTGAGATAAGTATGTCATTATAAATCGTCTTTTTCTTCTGATACATATATTTAATGTTCTACAGTTAACAAACCTTGTGCTTGAAATTGAGAAAAGTGATTATTTCAGACTTTGTTTGTCAAATAAAGAAATGTTTTTCACAAGATGCAGAAATTCGATATCGTTATCTGGTGATTTTTGTAACGTTTTCTTACAGACGAAACAGGCGTATGGGGGACCACGATCAAAGCGGCTATTACGGAGATCGAGGAAATCGTCAATACCAACGTGACGGTAGGCAATGAACCCTGCCTGAGGTTCTGGCAGTCTCCAGACTCGGAGCCCGTTAAGTCCTATCTCTACTTCCACATCGGTGTCGACGGGTACTATACAATTTTTATATCATTACACTCACGGTCAGTAAAACCTAACACTTACTAACAATGTAATTATGACCGATGGAGTTATAGTTAACACTTACTAACAATGTAATGATGACTGATGTAGTTATAGCTAACACTTACTAACAATGTAATGATGGCCGATATAGTTATAGCTAACACTTACTAACAATGTAATGATGACTGATGTAGTTATAGATAACACTTACTAACAATGTAATGATGGCCGATATAGTTATAGCTAACACTTACTTACAATGTAATGATGACGGATGTAGTTATAGATAACACTTACTAACAATGTAATGATGACCGATGTAGTTATAGCTAACACTTACTAACAATGTAATGATGACCGATGTAGTTATAGCTAACACTTACTAACAATGTAATGATGACCGATGTAGTTATAGCTAACACTTACTAACAATGTAATGATGACCGATGTAGTTATAGCTAACACTTACTAACAATGTAATGATGACCGATGTAGTTATAGCTAACACTTACTAACAATGTAATGATGACCGATGTAGTTATAGCTAACACTTACTAACAATGTAATGATGACCGATGTAGTTATAGCTAACACTTACTAACAATGTAATGATGACCGATGTAGTTATAGCTAACACTTACTAACAATGTAATGATGACCGATGTAGTTATAGCTAACACTTACTAACAATGTAATGATGACCGATGTAGTTATAGCTAACACTTACTAACAATGTAATGATGACCGATGTAGTTATAGCTAACACTTACTAACAATGTAATGATGACCGATGTAGTTATAGCTAACACTTACTAACAATGTAATGATGACCGATGTAGTTATAGCTAACACTTACTAACAATGTAATGATGACCGATGTAGTTATAGCTAACACTTACTAACAATGTAATGATGACCGATGTAGTTATAGCTAACACTTACTAACAATGTAATGATGACCGATGTAGTTATAGCTAACACTTACTAACAATGTAATGATGACCGATGTAGTTATAGCTAACACTTACTAACAATGTAATGATGACCGATGTAGTTATAGCTAACACTTACTAACAATGTAATGATGACCGATGTAGTTATAGCTAACACTTACTAACAATGTAATGATGACCGATGTAGTTATAGCTAACACTTACTAACAATGTAATGATGACCGATGTAGTTATAGCTAACACTTACTAACAATGTAATGAAAACAAGCCTTAGCCCACTGTATCACTGTATAAAGCGACATGTGCACGCCCTCCTCAACCACACCCGTGATTTGGCTTTTTTACAAAACAAAGTTGTAATATCGAAGTGCCAAACAACTCAAAATCGATAAAATTTGTGCAAGAAGTACATTAAGAAAAGTTTGATATAGGAATCCTGTAACGACATTAGGACCAGGTGTTCCGTAGGTGTGAGCGTCATCTGCTTTATCGACGACACCCTCTTGTTTATCTAGGTTAAATCTAAGTAACGGCATGTCCTCATATCAAAAACAAAACAACAAGGCTCAATAATGTCAACGTCTCAGATCACCATAATCCGCTACTTCCACATTTAGCTATTGTATACCGGCCGTCACTGCACACCCTTCCCGCGATAACTGACCGACAATATTTTACGAAACGAGCCAGTGGTCTTTACGTCCCCAATCTTTCACAAGTTAGCAGGCATATAAGAATCTAACAAATAGGTTTAATTGGGAAATGTATTACGTCAACAAATATCAGGCCCAGTAGAAGCAGTCCTTGAAACTAAACTGCCGTATTGTATACGTCATCTGACAGAGTATGTGGTACCGATCACGGCATGATGCCTGGAAGACATTTTGTATTCCTGGACGACCCCTGTCGACACAAGTCTGGCGTCATGAGAATGATTCTTATTGCACTGGGTCTACAGTATGAGCACGGACGTCCGGACAGAGACAGCTACGTTACAGTCCACACCGATAATGTCCGCAAAGGTGAGACGTGTTATCTGTACTGAAGACTTCAGGATATCATCTGTGGTGACGCTTATCATTTAAGGACACACATCTTTTCTTCCATATTGGAGTCAGAATTTACGATGTCTTTTTTGGGAAGAACAAAATGTCCTTGTAAGACGACGTGACGGTATGTTTGTCCTTGTAAGACGAAGTGACGGTATGTTTGTCCTTTTAAGATGACATAACGGTATGTTTGTCCTTGTAAGACGACATGACGGTATGTTTGTCCTTGCTAGACGACGTGACGGTATGTTTGTCCTTGTAAGACGACATGACGGTATGTTTGACCTTGTAAGACGACACTACGGTATGTTTGTTCATGTAAGACGACGTGACGGTATGTTTGTCCTTGTTAGACGACGTGGCGGTATGTTTGTCCTTGTAAGACGACGAGACGGTATGGTTGTCCTTGTAAGACGACATGACGGTATGTTTGTCCTTTTAGTGCGACGTTACGATATGTGTGTCCCTGTAAGACGACGTTACGGTATGTTTGTCCTTGTAATTCGACGTGACGGTATGTTTGTCCTTGTAAGACGACATGACGGTATGTTTGTCCTTGTAAGACGACGTGACGGCATGTTTGTCCCTGTAAGACGACGTGACGATATGTTTGTCCTTGTAAGACAACGTGACGGTATGTTTGTCCTTGTAAGACGACGTTACGGTATGTTTGTCCTTGTAATACGACATGACGGTATGTTTGTCCTTGTAAGACGACATGACGGTATGTTTGTCCTTGTAAGACGACGTGACGGTATATTTGTCCTTGCTAGACGACATGACGGGATGTTTGTCCTTGTAAGATGACATGACGGGATGTTTGTCCTTGTAAGATGACATGACGGTATGTTTGTCCTTGTAAGATGACATGACGGTATGTTTGTCCTCGTAAGACGACATGACGGTATGTTTGTACTTGTAAGACGACGTTACGGTATGTTTGTCCTTGTAATACGACATGACGGTATGTTTGTCCTTGTAAGACGACGTGACGGTATATTTGTCCTTGCTAGACGACATGACGGTATGTTTGTCCTTGTAAGATGACATGACGGTATGTTTGTCCTTGTAAGACGACATGACGGTATGTTTGTACTTGTAAGACGACGTGACGGTAGGTTTGTCCTTGTAAGACGATGTGACGGCATGTTTGTCCTTGTAAGACGACGTTACGGTATGTTTGTTCATGTAAGACCACGTGACGGTATGTTTGTCCTTGTAAGACGACGTTACGGTATTTTTGTCCTTGTAAGACGACATGACGGTATGTTTGTCCTTGTAAGACGTGACGGTATGTTTGTCCTTGTGTGTCTACGCTATGGTAAATGTGTCCTTGTTTGGGAACGTTTTTTGTATATTTGTCTATGTTTGCCGACGCAATGGTATATTTCGTCCTTGTGTGTGGACGCAATGGCAAATTTCGTCCCTGTGTGTGGACGCTGTGGTATATTTTGTCCTTGCATGGAAACGTTTTGGTATATTTGTCTATGTTTGCCGACGCAATGGTATATCACTTTGTTTGTCACTTGTGCAAAGAGAAAAGTTCGAATTAATTTCCAAAAATAACTCCCTCGTGGAGGGCAAGGTCGGATTTACGGTGTTCACTGTATGTATCCATGCGCTAAATTTGTTCCGGAGAAAAATCGGAACAATTTCAAATCTAACTTTCAGCTCAGAGTTCTATTGATAAAAAAGAACATAAGAGGCAGAGAAAAGGTAAATATAAGTATTGAACTGTTTTTGTATGGTATTTATGATCTATTTGAATGACACAGCTTTGCAAGCAAACAAATCATAATGCGCTAGCGCGCATAATGTTGTTTGCGTGCAAAGCTGTGTCATTCAAATAGATCACAAATACCATACAAAAACAGTTCAAAGCTTAATTGATCGCAATAACGTGTTGTATCATTATGATATGACGTTACTGCACAGTTTGATAATGTTTGGTGTCGTTTTCCGTATAAATTTGTATAATGACGCCATGGTACACACTATCAATTCACTGAATACCCACATACTTCCATATCGAACATTACATATTTGATATTGAAGGAAAAACTTCGTTCATTATACACACTAGAACAATACATTAGGTACCCTATCACATTAACGCTTGGTGTATCTCTCCTCTTTCTTGCCTCATTAACAAACTACCCAGATCCAAGTTAATAGCGTTATATTAATTTTGGATTTCCTGTTATTTTTCAGAATACAGGGCAATGTATGACAAGTTCAATTCTTCCGACATGGATGTTCTAGGTCTTCCTTACGATTTTGAATCCTTGACCCATTTCTCCGTATATGAGAACGCTAACAATAGCTTGCATCCGACAATGACGTCAAATTGGACTGATTCTTCTCTCGGAAACAAGGATAGGATGAGTAACACTGACGTAAAGAAACTACAGATCGCCTATGGTTGTGTAAACGGTAAGTTACCGGATGAACGGTCGGTTAATGGCTGTGGTAACGGTAAGTAACCGTATGAACGGTCGTTAAATGGCTGTGTAAACGGTAAGTTACCATATGAACAGTCGGTTAATGGTTGTGCAAACGGTAAGTTACCGTATGAACGGTCGGTTAATGGCTGTGGTAACGGTAAGTTACCGTATGAACGGTCGGTTAATGGCTGTGGGAACGGTAAGTTACCGTATTAACGGTCGGTAAATGGCTGTGGTAACGGTAAGTCACCGTATGAACGGTCGGTAAATGGCTGTGTAAACGGTATGTTACCGTATTAACGGTCGGGTGATGGCTGTGGTAACGGTAAGTTACCGTATGAACGGTCGGTAAACGGCTGTGGTAACGGTAAGTAACCGTATGAACGGTCGTTACATGGCTGTGTAAACGGTAAGTTACCATATGAACAGTCGGTTAATGGTTGTGTAAACGGTAAGTTACCGTATGAACGGTCGGTTGATGGTTGTGTAAACGGTAAGTTACCGTATGAACGGTCGGTTAATGGTTGTGTAAACGGTAAGTTATGGTATAAACGGTCGGTTAATGGGTGTGGTAACGGTAAGTTACCGTATGAGCGGTCGGTTAATGGTTGTGTAAACGGTAAGTTATGGTATAAACGGTAGGTTAATGGTTGTGTAAAAGGTAAGTTACCGTATGAACGGACGGTTAATGGTTGTGTAAACGGTAAGGTACCGTATAAACGGTCGGTAAATGGCTGTGGTAACGGTAAGGTATCGTATGAACGGTCGGTTGCTGGTTGTGTAAACGGTAAGTTACCGCATAAATGGTCGGTAAATGGCTGTGGAAACGGTAAGTTATCGTATGAACGGGCGGTTGATGGTTGTGTAAACGGTAAGTTATGGTATAAACGGTAGGTTAATGGTTGTGTAAACGGTAATTTACCGTATGAACGGTCGGTTCATGGCTGTGGTAACGGTAAGTAACCGTATGAACGGTCGGTAAATGGCTGTGGTAACGGTAAGGTATCGTATGAACGGTCGGTTGATGTCTGTGGTAACGGTAAGTAACCGTATGAACAGTCGGTTAATGGTTGTGGTAACGGCAAGTTACCGTATAAACGGTCGGTTAATGGCTGTGGGAACGTTAAGTTACCGTATGAACGGTCAGTTAATGGTTGTGTAAACGGTAAGCTCCCGTATGAACGGTCGGTTGATGTCTGTGGTAACGGTAAGTAACCGTATGAACGGTCGGTAAATGGCTGTGGTAACGGTAAGTTATGGTATGAACGGTAGGTTGATGGTTGTGTAAACGGAAAGTTACCGTATGAACGGTCGGTAAATGGCTGTGGTAACGGTAAGTAACCGTATGAACAGTCGGTTAATGGTTGTGGTAATGGGAAGTTACCGTATAAACGGTCGGTTAATGGCTGTGGCAACGGTAAGGTACCGTATGAACAGTCGGTTAGTGGTTGTGGTAATGGTAAGTTACCGTATGAACAGTCGGTTAATGGTTGTGGTAATGGTAAGTTACCGTATAAACGGTCGGTTCATGGTTGTGGTAACGGTAAGTTACCGTATGAACGGTCGGTTGATGGCTGTGGTAACGGTAAGTAACCGTATGAACAGTCGGTTAATGGTACATGGTACTATCCAAATATTTGTAAAGAAATGAAACGACAACACTCACATGTATCTACTTCTAGTTGATTTGTGGATTATCTGTTCTGATATGAAAGTATTTTGTTAGTCGTGTTCGTACTGGTGGTGTTGTGATCGGGGATGTTTAATTGTATACAGATGTGAGCATATGGGTACTATCAATATAAATGACCTCTGTACTTTTTGTAAAGTATTTTTCCAGGCAATATTGAAAGAATGAGGATATTCTTTATGATTTGCATTAATTCTATTTTCTCTACTTCCTTACTGTTTTGCCTTCTTCCTTACTGTTTTGTCTACTTCCTTACTGTTTTGTCTAATTCCTTACTGTTTTGTCTGCATTTTTACTGTTTTTTGTACAATATTCCTTTTTTGCTTTAAGCTTGACTCCAATTTGGAGAAGAACCCGTCAAGAACATATCATTGCCCAGTGGTTTTTCCTGGTACGATCTACAGCCGATTTATTTACGTTTCAAACAACTTATTTAATACTTGTTTCTATGCTCTTGCATGATATACACAGGTTTAATCAGTGATATACAACTTGTCAAAATATTCGATACACATACGCAAGAAATTCCAAAGGAATTGCACTGCTAAATTGGATTTTTCACAGATACAAATACAAATTTGATCGACACTTTGTTTTTTTTTAAAACGTATGAAGGAAGAACAACATTAGCTAAATCATCAGGTATCTCTGTGCTTTTAATGTATAACATAGTTAGTTTGTTGTGGAAACTATTGTATAGATTTGTGTGTAAGCGCTAGTCTTGTTTTTATCTTATTTTGGGGGTTTTAAACAGTGATTTTTAGCGATTATGCGTAAGCATTATGGCAATGTGTACATACTATGTAAGTGTGATGTTAATACGGTAATATATAAAATGTATTTGATACACGTACCACTGTTCTAACCTACCGTCACACACGCGTACCCCTCGTTACCCTGCTCCCTCTGTTCACCACTGTTCTAACCTACCGTCACACACGTGTACCCCTCGTCACCCTGCTCCCTCTGTTCACCACTGTTCTAACCTACCGTCACACACGCGTACCCCTCGTCACCCTGCTCCCTCTGTTCACCACTGTTCTAACCTACCGTCACACACGCGTACCCCTCGTCACCCTGCTCCCTCTGTTCACCACTGTTCTAACCTACCGTCACACACGCGTACCCCTCGTCACCCTGCTCCCTCTGTTCACCACTGTTCTAACCTACCGTCACACACGCGTACCCCTCGTCACCCTGCTCCCTCTGTTCACCACTGTTCTAACCTACCGTCACACACGCGTACCCCTCGTCACCCTGCTCCCTCTGTTCACCACTGTTCTAACCTACCGTCACACACGCGTACCCCTCGTCACCCTGCTCCCTCTGTTCACCACTGTTCTAACCTACCGTCACACACGCGTACCCCTCGTCACCCTGCTCCCTCTGTTCACCACTGTTCTAACCTACCGTCACACACGCGTACCCCTCGTCACCCTGCTCCCTCTGTTCACCACTGTTCTAACCTACCGTCACACACGCGTACCCCTCGTCACCCTGCTCCCTCTGTTCACCACTGTTCTAACCTACCGTCACACACGCGTACCCCTCGTCACCCTGCTCCCTCTGTTCACCACTGTTCTAACCTACCGTCACACACGCGTACCCCTCGTCACCCTGCTCCCTCTGTTCACCACTGTTCTAACCTACCGTCACACACGCGTACCCCTCGTCACCCTGCTCCCTCTGTTCACCACTGTTCTAACCTACCGTCACACACGCGTACCCCTCGTCACCCTGCTCCCTCTGTTCACCACTGTTCTAACCTACCGTCACACACGCGTACCCCTCGTCACCCTGCTCCCTCTGTTCACCACTGTTCTAACCTACCGTCACACACGCGTACCCCTCGTCACCCTGCTCCCTCTGTTCACCACTGTTCTAACCTACCGTCACACACGTGTACCCCTCGTCACCCTGCTCCCTCTGTTCACCACTGTTCTAACCTACCGTCACACACGTGTACCCCTCGTCACCCTGCTCCCTCTGTTCACCACTGTTCTAACCTACCGTCACACACGTGTACCCCTCGTCACCCTGCTCCCTCTGTTCACCACTGTTCTAACCTACCGTCACACACGTGTACCCCTCGTCACCCTGCTCCCTCTGTTCACCACTGTTCTAACCTACCGTCACACACGTGTACCCCTCGTCACCCTGCTCCCTCTGTTCACCACTGTTCTAACCTACCGTCACACACGTGTACCCCTCGTCACCCTGCTCCCTCTGTTCACCACTGTTCTAACCTACCGTCACACATGCGTACCCCTCGTTACCTTGTTCCCTCTGTTCACCACTGTTCTAACCTACCGTCACACACGCGTACCCCTCGTCACCCTGCTCCCTCTGTTCCCCACTGTTCTAACCTACCGTCACACACGTGTACCCCTCATCAACCTGCTCCCTCTGTTCACCACTGTTCTAACCGACCGTCACACACGTGTACCCCTCGTCACCCTGCTCCCTCTGTTCATCATACATTGTGACACCCAACACTTTACGCGCAATCGTTCGATGATACAAACAGTATCTTGATGTAGTACATGTAACTTTGAACAACTCTATCAAAATTCTTTATGTATCATTTCTACTCATTTCAATTAATCTGTATTATTTCTGTAATGTACATTCGTTTTGTTATTTCACAAATATTCGTTTTACATGAATGGTATACCCAAATTAATATCACATTATTAATTCAATAAACAATATAGATAGGTTAGCATATCAACATTCAAAAACTAATGACACATGTATTTATGTTTTTTATTACAGATACCACAAAACTCCTCAATAGATATCGTAAGTTTCATTATGATTGTCTTGTTTATGGGGCTAAATCAAATTGTCGTATTGATAGTAAAGCATAGCCTAATTGATGTAATTGTTTAACATATAGAAAATAAAATCATTTAATCATCGATTCTAGGACAAGTAAGTGCTGCATTTAGATTTGGAAGTTGCAACAACCAATACATGTAACCAAGCCTTATGGATGTAACAATATGAAGTTTGGAAAGTGGAATGTTTTAAACGGCCGCAGTGGCCGAAAGGTTAAGGCGTCTGACTATCACTGGCCCTCCACCACTGGGTTGCGGGTTCGAGGACCTTGTGGGGCAGTTGCCAGGTCGTGGACACCAGGTCGGTGGTCCTCCTCTGGGTATTACCAAAACCTGGTTCGGCCTTAACTGACCAAAACAGTGACATGTAATAGGACATAAATCAAACGAAGAAAGCAAATCAAAAGATATTTTGGTCGTTTTCCTTTTAACATAACTCCTTATCTGATGTCGAAGATGATATTCCTTGCGTGCCCATGGATGTGTACGTCATTGCAGTAAATATGTGCTATCTGTGGCGTCAATTAAATTAGAATAATACTCGATAATACTTCAGAAATCTTAACCGGACAAAAATAGCAGACACGTCAACTTCAGTAATGGAATAATGGCGCCACGTTACTCTTGTGCAAATATTCGTTCTGTTATTGTGATCACTTGATAAAAACCAATGGTTCAAATGAGCTGTCATGTGATAAAAGACAAGTTTTCTAATCGATAAAAAATCCATGTGTAAGTTCAGGTAAATTCAAAAACTATTTAATCAGTTAAAGTACCGACTATCAGGGTGGTATTTTCCGTAATAGAAATTCAGCATATTGGATCAAACTTTATTTGAATTAACGAGAAACTCCGTTGAATTTTTCTATTTGTGGACAAAATCCATATTATGATTTTATCCTTTTGCACAATGGGCAAAAACTAAGTAATCACAAAGTATGCTTGGTATTTGGTGTTTTACTGAATACGTGACGTCCTGGTTTATTGAAATAAATTGTGTCATTTATGCAAAAAGCATTGTCAAAATTCAAAGCATATGACGTATAGCAATGGGATTCTACCTTTCTGTAATACGGAAATAGAATAAAAATATATTATTGCATACGACCATCACTGCGTGACGTCACAGGATATTCTTTCTACGCAGATGACGTTGTCGGTTGTTCCTTCCAACGTTCTTCCTGTCAGCTGACAAACTACGTGCAGTATGATTATCATAACAATCAATACCAAAATCAGTGGCACACACGAGTGGGAGCAATGCCGTACAACGGACCAACAGGGGATAACTCGAATGGACGGGGTAAGTATCAGTGGGAATACCTTCTTACTCTACCCCCAACCCTACCGGACAAACATGGGATAACTCGAATGGGCGGGGTAAGTATCAGTGTGAATACCTTCTTACTCTAACCCCAACCCTAACGGACTAACATGGGATAACTCGAATGGACGGGGTAAGTATCAGGGGGAATACCTTCTGACTCTCACCCCAACCCTACCGGACCAACAGGGGATAACTCGAATGGACGGGGTAAGGATCAGGGGGAATACCTTCTTACTCTAACTCCAACCCTACCGGACCAACAGGGGATACCTCGAATGGACGGGGTAAGGATCAGTGGGAATACCTTCTGACTCTCACCCCAACCCTACCGGACCAACAGGGGATACCTCGAATGGACGGGGTAAGGATCAGTGGGAATACCTTCTGACTCTAACCCCAACCCTAACGGACTAACATGGGATAACTCGAATGGACGGGGTAAGTATCAGTGGGAATACCCTCTTGTTACTGAAATCTTTACAGTCTTAACGAAAATCGAAACCATTAGCCATTGTCTAAAATTAGACATTAGCCATTGTCTAAAATTCCAAGCCCTGACTTGACTATCGAAAAAACTGTCACCACCGTACCGACAATATAACATCTTTGTAATATTGGCATAGCATACTGACACTATCGGTGCTATAAAGGATATACGATGACAACAAATACTTCAATGAACTACAATAGCTCAGTCGTCGATTAACCTTAAGAAGGTGAATGAAATTTGTGATGTGAAGTATATCCAATTTATATCTGGAGTGAAAATGATATAGTCATCCCCATCTCCCTCTATACCCAGGTCAAGCGTCCTCTCCGGGCCTGTGCCATGAGTGATGGTATCTTACAAAACAAACACCCTTACCCACCTATAATACAAATTAGAACAAACATCAAAAACACATAACATGCATCATAGTCCGAGATTCGGTTGATAAATTAGTGTTGAGTTATGAGACTTAATGAAAACTTTCTAGTTCAAGAACAAGTATTCTCTACACAAGATTCAAACAATGCGTTATAAATAACAAATCGTTCGAGTTGTACTACATTTTATAGGTTAACTTTGCTATCATATTGAGTCAATATTTTTGAAGTGATTATCTAAATCATTTTCGAATTTGTTAAAATCACAGAAACCAAACAAAAACTTCTGTTACCACAGCACTGCGATTCGTAGCAAAGAGAAAATTTAATGTTTTATTTTCATAATTGAGCATTGTTTGTGTATGGCTTTAGAGAATTTCCAATAACTCGCACTAGCACGTCCTTGTATAGCTTATAAAACCCCTTAAACGGTTTATGATAAAGTCATATATATAGAACTATTACATTGTCTCTCTGTCGTCTTTTTATCGTCTGTATGATACCGTTGTTGAATTTCTTCGTTTTAGTCTGTCCGGGTATACACGATTTTTCAGTTAAGTAACCATTCTTTGTACTTATTCAATTACTTTGATTGTACAAGAAGTTCCTGTTATATGTGTACTGTAAAGCTCTCATGTTGGACCCATATAGCGCTTCCGAATCTAAGATAAATTCTCACTTATGATTTGAAAGAAACCTCGTATTTTTGATATTTTCAACATTTGGTTTTCTAAATTCAGATATTTTTTTAAGGATTAACTTGAATATATTTTTCATGTTATGGAGATATAACACAAACAAACGGAGTGTACTCTAAATAAACCGCGAAGCGGTTTCTGATGAGAGTACAATCCGGGTGTTTTTTTGTGTTATAGCTCCATAACATGAAAAACATATTCAAGTTAATCCTTATAATTTAATCTACTATACACAATCCCTGTGGAAATTCACTTTTATTGATGGACTCTTTTCTCTTAGAAATTATTGCGCTGTAGTATCAGCCAATCAAAAGCAACAGTACAAACGGCGACGTTATTTTTGATGTTAGGGACTGATAACATAATTTTTTAAGCCAATGAAAATGCTTGTTACAAGCAAGATTAAATTATTCAAATACAACTAACACCTTTTTTATTTAGCCACCGATTTCGTATAGAATGTTTAATCGAGACTAAAACAACATACTTCACATAGTACATGTATATCATTTATATACTAGAACATACACTCAATCTTACACACACACACACACACCATAGACAAAATAGAATCACAGGGTCAAGAGAGAGAGATATCTGGGCCAGTAAAATAAAATAAAAAGATTTAAATAAGTTAATTAAGAAGAATTATCTAGGAATCGAGGAGAGACGGAGAACATGAAAAATATTAAAAGCTGTTTTTACCTTGGTATTATTTAAATTACACTTCCGCATAGTCTAATATTTTTATCCATTTTCTCCATTCTTTCTCAAACCTATCCTGTGCAGAATCACCTTGACTGTTTACAATATATTTTTGAACAGTATAATGTTCTTTAATCATGTTAACTAAGGCATTTGGGCTCAACGTTTGATGTCGACATCTTGTCTTATAAATATAAAACTTAATAATAATTAAAATTTCATTGTCAATTCTATTATATGTCATACTCTCGTTTGCTACCAATAATCCAAAAAGAAAACTGATTTTATTAAATGAAAATGGGATAAAAAGTGCATCTAACAATATTTCAAAACTTTGTAAAAAATTCTGTACTTCTCTACATTCCCACAAAATATGAATGATTGTTTCTTGTTCTAAATTACAAAGTGTACAGAGTGGACTTGTCACTAATCCTACTTTAAACATGGATGAATTTGTTGTCAAAATATGATGAACAATTCTATACTGAAACCATTGTAGTCTTGAATTTTTTGTTATTCTAAAAGGGGTCTTATATATATCATTCCAATTAAAATTATTCAAATCCAATTTTTCTTCCCATTTTCTCCTCCCAGAAGCAATAGTATCTTTTTTTACCATAAGATTATAAAAATCTTTTATCCCTTTTACTCTTTTTAAGAAAAATTTAATATTACAGGGTATGATAGGGTATACAATAGCATCCTTTTTACAATCAATTTTAGCTAAATATTTCCTTATTGTAGTTAATACACCATGATATTGGAGAAAATTTGTATTTACCTGATAAATTTGAGCAAATTCTTGAAATGTGTAAAAAGTGCAAGTCTCAATGTCTTTTATTAAGTCATAAATTATAGTCACTCCTTTATTATACCATGTCTTGAAAAATATTGATTTTCCCCCAATAGTAAAATTCCTATTGTACCATAATGGCATTTTCCAGATGCAACTTTCATTAATTTGTTTCACCCGCTCCTTTTCATTAAACCTTCTCCATGCTTTAAAGACATCTTTCCAAAAATAATTTGTGCACTTATTAAGACATATTGGAATGTAATCACTTCCACAATGAGATAGCATATGTAAGTCAAGATGTGTTTCTAAGATAACTTGCCACTTGCCCGACTTCTGATATAATCTCCGTATCCACCCTAATTTTAAGGAATCAATGAATGACCTTATATTAACCATTTTAAGACCCCCTTCAAAATAATTTTGAAATATCACATCTCTCCTTATTTTATCAGTTTTACTGTTCCATAAAAAGTTAAAGAGAATATTATTTAATTGATTCAAAAAAAGATCATCAGGATTTGGCAATGCAATAAATAAATGGTTAAATTGTGATATCATTAAAGATTTTATCAGATGGATTCTACCTATAGGAGTAAGTGATCTTCTGTTCCATGCCATGATAAGTGCTTTAAGTTTAATTAACTTTTTATCAAAATTTAATTTTGGAATTTCATGAAGATTGACACTAAATTCTATTCCCAGAAGCATAAATTTTGTCCTACCCCACTGCAATTTTAGATCAGGTAAAAATGTATCTTCACTATGTATTTTGCTCCCTATCCAAACCACCTGGGTTTTGTCTATATTTAACTTCAAACCAGATATTTTAGCGAAAGTATTCAATTATGCTATCGACTCTTTTAAAGACCTTTCTGAACCATCTTAAATGAGAGAAGTATCATCAGCATACTGAGAAATAAGGATTGGACTTTTATTTACTTCTATACCCTTAATCTTATTGTTATTTCTAAGTCTTATGCCTAGTATTTCAACACACAAAATAAAAATGTAGGGGGCGATTGGATCACCATGGCGACAGCCTCTTTTTATGTTTAGAACCATGAACCAAAATTAAAATAATTTAAAACTTTATCAACAAATTCCCATGAGACTGAGTCGAATGCTTTCTCAAAATCTACCATTAATAACATACCTGGAATATATCCTTCTTCTGCATATTGCATAATGTCAAAAACTAATCTAGTATTTTCCCCTATATAACGGTCTGAAAGAAATCCTGTTTGATCTTCACTAATTAATTTATCTAAAACTGTTCTAATTCTACCTGCTATCGATCCAGACGCTATTTTATAGACTATATTCAATAATGTTATGGGTCGCCAATTTTTTATGAACTGCCTAGGTTTATCTCCCTTGGGAATACATGTTATAATACCTTGCCTTTGTGTTACTGATAGCAAACCTTTCCTATACCCACAATTTATAAATCTAACAATGAACCCCCCTAGCTGTTTCCAGAAACGCTTAAAAAATATTCTACAGTAAACCCATCAGAACCAGGACTTTTGTTATTTTTTATATTTTTCAAAGTTTTTGTTGCTTCATCTGAAGTAATTAACCCTTCTAGACCAAAAGAATCGTTATTTTCTCATTTTGAAACATCACATGTATTCCAAAAATCCGCTAAATCTATATCATCAATATCAGTATTATTATCATATAATTTTTCATAAAATAAACAAACTTCTTCTAAAATTTCATCCTGTTGTGTAATAATAACATTATCATCTTTCTGTATCTTTGGTATAATCTTAGAAGTATAATTCCTATTTTCTAAATTGAAAAAACAATTTGTTGGCTTTTCTCCTTACTCTTGCCATCTTGCCCTAGATCTAATTATGCTACCTCTTACCTTCCTCAACCTAATATTTTCCAATTCCCTTTTCTTAATTTCTAAACATGTTCCTGCTCTTCAATAGTTTGTATTTTTCTCTTAAGATCATCTTCCTCCCTACTTTGCTGTTTCTTTCTATAAGATGAATAAGATATACTTTTACCTCTGATTTCCATTAATAACGTTTCAAGAAAAAGCTGGTCATCAATTACAAATTTTCTTTCTGTATCTGGTATATTCATTATAGCATTCAGATTATACACTGGCAAAGAGTACTGAGTTTTTGTTTCTAAAATAATATTTTTCACCATTTGATGATATTCTTCCTCATATAAAAGAGATGAATTAAATTTCCACAATCCCTTTCCCCGCTTGAATTCATTCAATTTTAAAACAATTATAGGGAATGAGTGGTCGGACCTGTAACCTGACGCAATAAATGATTTATGAATACTAGATAAACAAAATCCGAAATAAGAAAAAATCCAACGAGACTGTTTTAATGGGTTCTTCTTTCTCCAGGTATACCTTTTACTATCTTGATGCAATTCTCTAAAAATGTCTACCATTGAATAGTTTTCCATAATTTCAATAAATTTTTCTCTTGCTTTTTTATTATTAATGTTCTTATAGCTTTTGTCATAATCTAACTCAGGATCTGATACTAAGTTGAAATCTCCACATATAATAAATTTGTCATTTCCAAAGTCGTCAATTGTGTCAGTTAAAATATCAAAAAAATAGGTGTGTCTGTATTTGGGCCATATAGCGTGATCAATGTAACATGTGAACCCTCTAATTCAATATCAAGGGCTAAAAAATTTCCTGACATTTCTTTCCTTTCCCTTTTCACTTAATTTCAAAATTATTATTTATAAGAATAGCTACCCCCCTGGCATTGGAATTGAATGAATTAAAATAACAGTCGAACCCCCATTCATTTCTGATAATATTCTGGTTCTCCTCAGTAAAATGAGTGTCCTGTAGACAATAAATACAATACTTTTTCGATTTTAAGTATGAAAAAAGGTCCCTTCTTTTAATTTTGTCCCCGAGACCCTGACAATTAGCAGAAAGAAAAGTTACACCCTCCATCATGTTACATTACAACTTAAGCAGAAATATGCATATATTAACTAGCCCAGATAAGAAAAAGAGAAGAATCGAAATATAGCACAACAGAAGAAAAAGGTTAAAACACATGTCAAAATGGTCAAAAGTCGCAGACAACTGTTAACGCACCTTTCATCCTTCTCTCAAAGTACAGTTTCCAAAACCATGCCGTAAGGCGGGAGTGAAAAACAACCGGAAGTAGTACAATAATATATTAAGCAAGAGGCTTGATTTTCCGGATTTTAAATAGATTAATTAGAAAAAACGATCAGACACCCTTCCAGACTGTTTCACATTATGAAGAAAACGTAATATAAAATTATTTAGATGTATTCCAACGAATATGACATGAAACGTACATTTAATAATATCAACAACATCAAAATTGACACAAAGAATATTGAATTGACAGTAAAGTACAGAAAAAAGACGTTAGTCTTCTTCAGTGGAGCGTTACACTATCATACAAAACTTACCGGAATACATTTTAGAAAAAAATATCCACAGCATACCTTCCAAATACACAGACATATCAGTGACACATCGTGAACACACTTCAAAACCATACTTATCGGTAGAAACAGAGGAGTCCATATCTGGCGGCCACACGTATACATGTACGCGAGCCTATAGTCAGATACCGATCTCACACTCAAAAATAACACTTTTCACACAGTTCCGTAGAATCTGTCTCTTAGTTCCTAAAATTGTTGTCATCTGCAAGATACTGATCCGTCAGCTCTGTAGCGTATGACAGTCTTCGTTTCTTGTCGTTGGTTAGCACTGCGAATACTAAAAGTATGTTTGACACTTTTAAGTCTCTATGCTTCCTTAAGTGTTTCTTGATTCATTCTTGTCAAATCCTCGAAAACAATTTGTCCTTTTCCCTTCAATTTACGTCTGTTGTTTAGTATCCGGACCTTTTTCCTCCTGTGGGTCATTTTACAGATGATCGTCCGTGGCCTGTTTCTGTCAAAACGCCCGAGTCTATGCGCAATGTCTATGTCGTTGCTCTGTATATCCACCTCCAAAGAATCCTTTACAAATGTCACTACTTTCTCTACACACTCCTCAATTGTTTCTTTATCCCCTGTATCGCTAAGGCCAACAATCCTGATTGAATTTTTCCTGCCTTGCTGTTCCAAATCATTTACTTTGTACACTAGTCCAGTATTCATGCTGTCTGATTCTGTGGCTCGTTCTTCTAATTTTTCCACTTTTTCTTTCAAGCTGTCGTTCTCTTTCTCGAGGTCGAAAATTCTTCCTTCGAACTGATCGACGAGCACACGGGTTTCCTCCCTGATATCCTCTCTCAATCTTTCTAACTTTCTGTCCATGATTGTATCCATATCCGACTTTGTCACAAGAGTTGAGATCATTTCAAAAATCTCATCAATCCTGTCTCTTCCTGAGGATTCACTAGAAAAGTCTGAACTTCTGGTTTTTGTTCCTGTCTTACCAACACCAACACTGGCTCTCGAACTCGCCATGGTTGTATAGTCCACTACAGAATGTATATATAAGTTATACCTGTACAGGTAAGTCGAACACACAATAGGCGCGCGTTAACAGATGTCACGTACTAGTGGTCAGTCCATTGTCTTGAATTTGTATTTCAGTTACATAAATAATACAAAATTTTCCTTGAAAGTTCTCGAAGAATATCTAATTACATTTCTTCAAATAACCATATACCAAAAAGCAGCATTATCAGTACGTTCGAAAATAGGTAATTTTGAGAATGTTATCGGAGCCAAAAAACCACTCGTCTGACCAGATCCGCGTGACCTTGACCTTCAGATCTTGAAATTTAGATAAAAGAACTATTAGAACCATTAGTACATGAACAATATCTAAAACTCATCTGTAAAATCTAAATTTAACTATTCTGTATTTTCTGTATTACTCACACGTATGTTTTCAGTACAGTAAAATGTTTATTATAATCATACGTCTTAGGTACATACCAGTATACATCATTGAGTGACGCCTGGCTGAAAACCGGCTCCTATATACCCCCGGGCACGTACTGTATCCATCTTCACTACTGTATCGCAACCCGGGGAAACTCTTCCTTCTCTCGTGTTCAACTGAAGACACGCCACAACAATGTGGTATTTGCTGAAGGACATTACGTCAGCAAGGCATGGACTCCACTTAACGTGACCCACACGGAAACGTCACAATGGCAGGTAAACATGGTATTTTTTATGGTGACATTACCAACCTATCTATACAGTATATACACCAACCACTGCTAATTGCATAGCGATACTTTGTTGTTTCAGATTCCATTTGCATATTTGTCTATTTGTAATAGCTCAGTCAAATCGAAGGGTAACACTAACATACAGAGCTAACCAATAACACACAATTGCCTTGTAGTTGTGTCTATGTATTCAAAATTATATTTAATCACGATTTCGTATGTTGTTATTTTCCTGTGTGAAATATTTTCTGTATGATACAGTGACATTGTAAAATGTGTCTTTTTTGTAGTTTTTTTTCGCTGTATTATACATTGATATAAAATGTCAATTGTTTGTAGTTATGTCCCAATGTGATACAGTGTTAGTATATGTATATAGCTGTACGACGAAGTGACGTGAGCCTGTGTGATACTCTGATACTGTATAACCGTTTACTCTTTTTTTTTTTTTTTATGACAGATTACGGTATATTTCGTATTTAATTACGTTGTACTGCCTTGCTGTTCTGTCAGTGTATAGTACTGTGATATTGTATTATCTTTCATTGCCTTGTAGTTATGGATCGGGTCAGTTATATCCAATAGCGACCCCCTGGCCGTTGACGATGTGTTTGTCACCTCGAACGCCTGTCCGTCTATATAAACACCAGGACACAGTCCACGTGATACATTGAAAACGTTTGTCGAATAGTTGATTGTGACTAATTCAACAAGGTAATAAACACTTAAACGTTGAGGATTTTGTCTTATGGTTTGAGAAGAAAATATTAAATCGTCCGACAAGACAGTATGAATCGTAAATTAACGATCGTTAAAATAGGGTGAGGTCTTTTGCTAGGGGATCATTATAGCAATGTTATGGAGTAGGTTGATACAAATGTGTATTACGATAAAAGCTTGAGTAGAATATTTAATCAAGTTCTGTACAGCACTTTAGAGCGTGTGATTGTCACAGTTCTTGTTATCTGAGGGCAAATCATCCTCATATCCGACTTCCAAGGAAAACATTTGGGAATTTCATGGACAATGTTATTTGGTTTAGTGATTACCAAACTGTCAAATATGTAGTTGGCTTTTCACACTAAGCGCAAGGGCCGGCGCTGACGACCACGCTGTCCAGGGCTAACAGATCTCCCCCCGACAACACGTGAGCAGTGATGTTCAACTGAAAGTAAACAAGATACATTTCATAAGTATTTGTGACGTAAGAGCGCTTAATGGTACTTTATTTAAAGTGAATGTCACAAAATAACACTAAACATGACACATAAAATATACGTCAGGTTTATTGATAAGATTTTCGACTTCTTAGAGAACATTTGATTTTACTAATTGTTTACCCTCATGCTCGAAAACACTAGTACTTCGTTATATCTATAAAACCCTTTATTGTACAAAGTCGTTCTTTTACATAAGCCAGGAGAATGGTGCGAACGGTAGATAATAGTTTTAATTTTCTACATTCTCTATGAGAACGGAAGATTATAATTTTAACCTTGTACATTCTCATTGAGAACGGAAGATTATAATTTTAATTTTCTACATTATGAGAATGGAAGATTATAATTTTAATTTTCTACATTCTCTATGAGAACGGAAGATTATAATTTTAACCTTGTACATTCTCATTGAGAACGGAAGATTATAATTTTAACCTTCTACATTCTCATTGAGAACGGAAGATTATAGTTTTAACCTTCTACATTCTCTACGGGAACGGAAGATTATAATTTTAACCTTGTACATTCTCATTGAGAACGGAAGATTATAATTTAACCTTCTACATTCTCATTGAGAACGGAAGATTATAATTTTAATTTTCTACATTCTCTATGAGAACGGAAGATTATAATTTTAATTTTCTACATTCTCATTGAGAATGGAGGGTTATAATTTTCACCTTCTGCATTCTCATTGAGAATGGAAGATTATAATTTTAATTTTCTACATTCTCATTGAGAATGGAGGGTTATAATTTTCACCTTCTGCATTCTCATTGAGCATGGAGGATTATAATTTTCACCTTCTGCATTCTCATTGAGAATGGAAGATTATAATTTTAATTTTCTACATTCTCATTGAGAATGGAGGGTTATAATTTTCACCTTCTGCATTCTCATTGAGAATGGAAGATTATAATTTTAACCTTGTACATTCTCATTGAGAACGGAAGATTATAATTTAACCTTCTACATTCTCATTGAGAACGGAAGATTATAATTTTAACCTTCTACATTCTCATTGAGAACGGAAGATTATAGTTTTAACCTTCTACATTCTCTACGGGAACGGAAGATTATAATTTTAACCTTGTACATTCTCATTGAGAACGGAAGATTATAATTTTAACCTTCTACATTCTCAAGGAGAACGGAAGATTATAATTTTAACCTTGTACATTCTCATTGCGAACGGAAGATTATAATTTTAATTTTCTACATTCTCTATGAGAATGGAAGATTATAATTTTAATTTTCTACATTCTCATTGAGAATGGAGGGTTATAATTTTCACCTTCTGCATTCTCATTGAGAATGGAAGATTATAATTTTAACCTTGTACATTCTCATTGCGAACGGAAGATTATAATTTTAATTTTCTACATTCTCATTGAGAATGGAGGATTATAATTTTCACCTTCTGCATTCTCATTGAGAACGATGAATATTTGTTTTAACCTTCTAAAATCTCTAAAAGAGTTGCTGGCTAAACTAACAAAAAATGATGGCATAATGTGACGTATGAAGTTAATTAATTTGTACGAACAAATCATGCCACTAAGTGACAATGAGCCAATCTATTGCAATTGTAGTAATGTAGACCCTAGTATGT